AAAAATGTGGGCAACTTACTGTAAAAAATCAAACCCAGGTCTTCTGCATGGGAGTCAGACATCTTACAAGGTGAGCTACACTCTAGTAACATTCATAGCATCTGTAACTTTTATATCCTTGATGATAGCTGAAACAGCGTCAAACCAAAGAACGGTTCGAAGAGAAAATGGCTATTTTGTTGCTAATTTGCAGGAAATATCTAGAAGAAAGTAGCTAAGGGTCCTCAGAAATGTAGCTAGGTTTGTCACTAGGCGTTAGGAACAGCGACAAAGCCGCTGAGTTGGCACTACCTCTCTCTCTGCTGCTAAAACCACGGATAGCAAATGCTACGAGCTATGCCTGAGCGTGAACGCGCATGAAGCAGCCTGCTCGACCCGAGCATTTCTCTTTTTCTGTGATTTTACAGAAAAACAGACAATCACAGTAAAAATGCCAGGGCTCATTCTACAGGACCAGGACATTGCAGGAGAATGTATGAAGAAGAAATTTATTATTTCTATACATGTTTTGGCTGTCAAACTTCCATATAGTCCCTTGAAACATCAGGCATGTCTTTTCATCTTGCAGAACAGGTCCTTCAAAGTGGTGTTTTTTGTTGGTGAGGCATCAGTTTTCATGCAAAACTGTACAAAATATTAATTTTGTGAAGATGTTTTATCCTTAATGTGTAAACTTTGATCGGTCTTCAGGGAAAGTTCTGTCAGTGCAGTTAGGCTTGGTCTAAAGTGCTTTCTGTCAGCTCCTGATAAAGCTGCAGAACAATATGGAGGGCATGTTTATTGCACACTGATATCCAGAGCATGACTTCATTGTGTCTGGACTTTCAGCCAATATTTGCACATTCAGATTGACTAACAGGTCAGTAAACTGCACAAACAGTGCAATGAAATGAGAAAATGTTTCATTTTAAACTCATATTTTGTTCTAATATTTCAATGCAGGCATGTGAATTATGTTACAGCAGTAAAATATATTGTACATTTGAGTTCTTATCTGTTGACTCTTCATGAAAAAAGACAGCAATCATGCAAAAAAATGTAACAAAAGAAAGCTATTTCTGCATGATGTGCCCAAAATAATCATTGTTATGCACAAAATATCTATTTGGTGGTAGTATTCTTCAAGAAAACAACACAGATTAGACCTGTAGAGATGAATAAGAGCACAAAATTATTCAGATTAGTAAATAAAATATAAAAAAAAATCACCTTTGCTGTTCAAATGTTCAAAATTCAACAAAAAAATGAAACATAATCTTTTTTATTCAAATATCAATAGTGATGTTACTTTTTCCAATGCTTGTTTACGTGAGCAACGCATGTGTAACAGCTGATTAAATACCTAAAAACTGATCACAATATTTCCTTCTGTGCATTTTAAAACAACAAATGTTTCAAATCGGGTAACAGAAGTCAAATAGGACCCGTGGTCTGATGTGATTTAAACGTTGACCTTTACATTGAAGGGTTGATTGGGTAAGAGGCCTTAAAGCTGCAGCGCTGGCTTTCTGCACGTCTGCCTGTGTGCGTGAAAGAGCCAAGAATCACTCTGATTGTTTGGTCTTTATTAGTAAATGGTTTTGTAAGAACAAGATCTGTTCACCGTCATTTGGTCGAGGCCCGGGTTTCCATTTCAGCTTGTAGCTCGTTTGTTTTCTCTAGCTAATTTTATTCTTGCTGCTGCCATTACCGAGTGGAGCGACTGATTACATCAGAGGTGAACAAATGTTTACCAGATTTCAAATGAAAGCTTCAGAAAACATGTCTGCAGCAACAAGATAAAAAAATGGTCAAGGTACAAAATGAAAAGAATAAAAAAATGAAAAGTTTTCCATCAAACTCTTGCTGGATACAATTTTGCAAAGGATTTTTTGATTTTCTACCAAATCAAAGCTGTTTTGTGATGGAAAAGGTTTATGCATTAACACAAAATAGGAAAACATGACTATTAAAATAAAATGTTGATGAGCTGCATAAAACAATTGTCTGCACGCTCCACTGAATAGGTTGTTGTCCAGTTAGTGCGTTCATTTTCCAGACCAATACAACAAAAATTATAATGTCAGACTTTTAATCTAACATGACTTAATGTTTGTGTGTGCACTTGGAGTGTTTGTTTTAAAGGGATCAGATTTAACCACCTAGAAATCAGGCACGATACTTTTTAGTCAGGAAAAAGTCCCATTTGTTTAGAATGAAGGGGGCGGGGCTTAAAACTTACACTGCAGCCAGCCACTAGAAGGCTTTTCATTTCCTTTTGACTCATGTTTCTATGGTCAGCTTTTCTGTGTGTTAAAGGCTGTGTAATATAAAATGGAAATGCAAGATCCTCATACACAATTGGAACAGTTTATGCAGCTGTGTCTTAAGTGAGATTTAAGATGAACCTGAAATGCAGGACCTATATATATATATATATATATATATATATATATATATATAGGTCCTTCTAAAAAAATTTGCATATTGTGATAAAGTTCATTATTGTCTGTAATGTACTGATAAACATTAGACTTGCATATATATTAGATTCATTACACACAACTGAAGTAGTTCAAGCCTTTTATTGTTTCTAATATTGATGATGTTGGCATACAGCTCATGAAAACCCAAAATTCTTTTCTCAACAAATTTGCATATTTCATCCGACCAATAAAAGAAAAGTGTTTTAAATTGTGTGTTCAAATAATTATGTTCAGTTATGCACTCAATACTTGGTCGGGAGTCCTTTAGCAGAAATGACTGCTTCAATGCGGCGTGGCATGGAGGCAATCAGCCTGTGACACTGCTGAGGTGTTATGGAGGCCCAGGATGCTTCGATAGCGGCCTTAAGCTCATCCAGAGTGTTGGGTCTTGCGTCTCTCAACTTTCTCTTCACAATATCCCACAGGTGCTCTACGGGGTTCAGGTCAGGAGAGTTGGCAGGCCAATTGAGCACAGTAATACCATGGTCAGTAAACCATTTACCAGTGGTTTTGGCACTGTGAGCAGGTGCCAGGTCGTGCTGAAAAATGAAATCTTCATCTCCAGAAAGCTTTTCAGCAGATGGAAGCATGAAGTGCTCCAAAATCTCCTGATAGCTAGCTGCATTGACCCTGCCCTTGACAAAACACAGTGGACCAACACCAGCAGCTGACATGGCACCCCAGACCATCACTGACTGTGGGTACTTAACACCGGACTTCAGGCATGTTGGCATTTCCCTCTGCCCAGTCTTCCTCCAGACTCTGGCACCTTGATTTCCGAATGACATGCAAAATTTGCTTTCATCCGAAAAAAGTACTTTGGACCACTGAGCAACAGTCCAGTGCTGCTTCTCTGTAACCCAGGTCAGGCGCTTCTGCCGCTGTTTCTGGTTCAAAAGTGGCTTGACCTGGGGAATGCGGCACCTGTAGCCCATTTCCTGCACACGTCTGTACACGGTGGCCCTGGACGTTTCTACTCCATGTGTGTGTGTGTGTGTGTGTGTGTGTGTGTGTGTGTGTGTGTGTGTGTGTGTGTGTGTGTGTGTGTGTGTGTGTGTGTGTGTGTGTGTGCATATATATGTGTGTGTGTGTGCATATATATATATATATATATATATATATATATGTGTGTGTGTGTGTGTGTGTGTGTGTGTGTGTGTGTGTGTGTGTGTGTATAAGAATTAACAAAATACATTTATAAATATAACAAAATAATTCCAGAAAATAAATGGGAAACACCAGAAAAAGCCTCACACATCTAAGTCACACTGTAAATTAGCATTCATGGAGTCACCCATCTTGGCTCATGAAGGGGAAGACTATTATTGATTTAGCATCCAGGAGAGAGTAGAGCACTTCTCTGCTAGTAGAAGCTAACTATTAGCATTAGCAACTCCATAACATGGCAGAACTCCTTCAGGCTTGTGTTATTTGTGGTGAAAAAACATAAGCGGTGTAAAACAAACAGAGACATAGAGTCAAATTGCTGTTAGCCAATCAGAGGCAAGACGTCTGAATATCAGGAAACAAGACTTAAAATGCTGCCGTGTTCTGCTTACCTCTGCTCACTTCCACTTTCTGAAAGAGGGGCACCAGAGATTTGTTTCTCAGAAAGAACAACTCATAATGCATTCACTCCTACTAGAGAACACTGCAAATGTATTTAGAAAATAAGTTAACTTGTTTTTTTATTATAAATAAAAAAGAGCAGCTGTCTCACCATTTTTAAGATAAGCTTAAAGGCATATTATCCAACATTTTCATTTTTAAAAAACATTTTCTTGAGCCACTATGCTAAAATGACCATTTATAGGGTGAATGAAATATCACTCAGACCCCCATGCCCACTGTGGCCAGAATATTGCACTTACAACTTCAGAGTTGCCGGTTCGGTCCCTGTTGGACTTAGTAAAGTGGAGCTGACATACTTGGCGCTGCAGTCTGGTTCCAGCACGTTTCCTGCATATTTTAGCTCATAAACACAGCTGATTTGTTTGGTTTTGTGATAAACCACTCCTGTAGGAACTAAAGAAGATTGAGGAGACTTTTCAGCAGTTAGTTTAAGGAGCACACAGGGAGGAGTTTCCTTTTTTTTTTAACTAACGGACACTAGGGGGTGCTAAAAGCAAGCCAAACAGCAAAGTATCCCTTTACTGCAGATAGAAACTTTAAAGTGACGAGATGACCCTGCAAAGGGTCACTGTTGAAAAACAAGCCACCATTCTTTATCAGAACCTCAAAATGGGCCAGTGTCTGCAAGAAAGCTCTCAGATGTGGTCTTCGGAGACACTTTTGAGCAAACATGTCGGTACCAAAGGTTCTGATGGGGATGTCGTTGCAACAGAGCATTACACAACACTCAGATAAAATAACCAAAAAGAAATACTGCAGGTCCAAAGAAAATATGTAGGGTCTTTTAATTGTTGTATAGCTGCAGAAAAAGTTTAAACAGGATGAATAAGTAAGTAACTACTTTCAGGATTATCACCACGTGTTCAATAGCAGCCACAAAATTGAGCCTCTGTCCTAATTCCAACAGCAAATCAAACTCTGCGTGGACCTTTGAATCTTTGTTGATCAAAGTTCGGCTCCAAACTCCCCCAAAAAAGTACAGCAAATATTTTTTTTCTTCACTTTGGGTGACAGAGGCAGAGCAACAACCAGCAAACTCCAAGTCAAGGTACAAAACTGTAAGTATGACACTTTGTTTTGGTAATTATCACAAAATTAACCTGATCCCAGTTTGTTCAATTTGATAAAATAGCAAAAAATAAATTAATTAAAGGACCACAAACAACATCAAGGGTGCCCTTGATCCGTTTAGGATTCAACGATAAAAGTTTCTGCAGAGTTTGGATTTGAATCATCAGAGCATAAAGAAGTTGATAAGTTTATCTTCATCCACAGTGGAGGGAGTTTGTGTTGCGAGCATGCTTTGATCACTCAGCGTTCACTAATATCAGTGACCTGTTCAGGCTGCAGCGACTGGACTCTTCGACTCGTGTCATTTCTGCAGCACACATTTCAGAATATCTTGCTTTGTATAGCTTTAATCTAATCTGTGCAGTGTTCCATTAAATCAACCCTATTTTAGACTCGAAACAACACCATTTGTTTTTCTGACCTTCAGTAGTAATTAAGACATCTGTTTGGAGATAAATATTCAGCTTTAAGGGATGTGATGCATACAGTAATGATACTTATAAAAGAGATGGTCTAATATATATATATACATTTTACATATTTGCACATTTTTGTGTATCTGAACACAACAAATTGATCAGTAATCCAGTTTAAAAGGAATATTTGAAAAGAGAACTAGTGATTACATGCTGAAAGAAACGGATGTGTTTACAAAACCTAGATTTAGAACTAAAATTAAGGAATGGAATATATCTGTACATGGTGTTAAATTATGGGATAACCTTAATAGGGAAATTAAAAAAACTCTGTCATTTAATATATTCAAAAAATGTACCTAATTGAGCGTACTAATAATTACGAAAATGTAAATTAAGTCAATGATCATGATCGCACTGGAATTTAGAGCAGGAAAAAACTTAAAATTAATCTGTATGTGCGTCTGACAAATGGAAATTATATATAAATTGATTATTTATTCTGGAAAAGGTGGCAGAATTTGTAAGATGTTTTTCTTCATTCTGCTCCTTTTCGTTCAAATTTGATGTTTTGTTATGTATTTCTTATTGTTTATATGTTTTATTTGTTTTTATTTTGAATGAAATAAAAAAGCTAAAATATATATATATATATACATATATTTCTACATTCATCTAATTTGGCACATTAGTTGGACCTATTCTCAAACCTTTTGCCTTTGTCACTCCTCCCAGGAGAGTGGAGTGGACTTTGAGCTTCGTCTGTGCCTCCCAGTCCTCTGACAGAGTTCAGTTGTTCATATAAAACCCGCCAGCTGAGGCCGAGACTTCAGTCTCCTTTGAGTGCTCACCAACCCCAGGGGAGAGTCCGTCATGGGGGACTCAAAGCTCTGCCTTTTGCTGCTCCTCGCCACTTCAGCCTTGGCTTGTGAGTAATTCAAAACAAAGAAATTAACTGTTTAATATTATTTGGGGATGTATTTTTATTAGATAGTGTAATTATACCTGAATTTTAGCAATAAATACAAATGTTTTGAAATACAATTTTTTTTAAATCACTCAGTTTGAAAAACTTGATGCTGTTTACTGGTTTACGCCTATTTGTAAGCATTGAGGTTCGGTTTTCTATTTTGTTCCTGATTCTGGGAGGATTTTTGTGGCTTTGTGCCATGCAGCTTTGAAAAATAGCAGAAAAATAGCTGGCAAATCATACAAAAAGCATGCAGTTGGGCCTGAAGAAGTGTCTTTTGGTTTATTGTAATGGTAGGTTGACTATGTAGACAATGGTTGCAAAAAGGTGTGAGAAATTTCACCAACAAAATTTGTGTTCAGATGAACAGCTGTTGTCCAGCCAATGATGCAGATGATCTAACAGAAGACAGAAAGGCAGACATCTTTAATTAGAACCTCGTGGTGTTTCCAGAAGAGCTCCTCGTCAGAATGGACAAATGAACTTTGAGAATTTTTCCCATTGATGACAGTGAAGTTTTTGATGCAGCAAGCGAGAAAATCCTACCCTTAGAGAAATCAGTCATTTGGTATCAAGGGTGTCACTCTCCACAGGATAAAGAGTTATTTAAAGGTATTGCAGAGGACGTTTCTAAATTTCAGGACAGAACCGCCCTCTCCACATTTTGAAAAAAACTGCACATGAGAGAGAATGCCTAGCTATCCTCGTGCACCGTCAGTTTACAAGTAGCTGCCGGACTTGCAGCGCTTCTTCTAGCAGTAATCTGAAATGAAATTTCTCCAAACAGCATTGCAAACTTTAGCTTACCTTGGGGGCGACGGTGGCACAGGTGTCAAGTGCTCGCCCCAAAATCTGAAGGTTGCAGGTCCGAGCCCTGCTCGCTCTGTTGCTGTCGTTGTGTCCTTGGGCAAGACACTAAACCCACCTTGCCTGCTGGTGGTGGTGGGAGGGACCGGTGGCGCCTGTGTGGCAGACTCACCTCTGTCAGTGCGCCTCAGGGCAGCTGTGGCTACAATGTAGCTCATCACCACCAGGGTGTGAATGTGTGTGTGACTGGGTGAATGACTGATTGTGTTGTAAAGTGCATTGGGGGGTTCCAGGACTACAGAAGGCTCTATATTTAAAATACACACCATTTACCATTTACCCGAGCAGAAAATCGTCTCTGGGGAGTCCAACCTTTGCTTTCAGCACACGCCATCGTTAAGAGTCTCCTAAAAAACTTATTTCTCACTTCGGAGGCTTTTCTCTTCTTATTGTAGACTTCAAAGACTCTTGCAGCTCTCAGCCATTTTCAAAAGAACCAGATGAGAACAGTGAGGAATGAAGGTTATCACTCTACACATAAAAAGAATGCTCATGCACAGGAAGTCAAAACTGCCCAGCAACAAGCCTGTACGACAACAGCCTTGCGTGAAAGGTTCATCAAAATGATTGACAGGTATGTGGACCAATGGTTAAGAAGATCCACCCGGAAGAAAAAGATCCTCTGCATTACCTTTAAATAACAGAAATGACTGGAAGTCAGCATGGCTGATGTATCTTGTGGAGTACCACAGGGTGCTGTAATGGGTCACAAGCTATTTCTGCTTTACATCAATGATTTATGTAGATAGGTTAATGTTTCCAGAGCATGGATGACACAATATTGTGTCAGTTATACTGAGGAATGAGTGAAACATGTTATGAATATGTTGCAATTTCAAATAATGTACAAAGAACTTACTTTTACCCCAGATAAACAAGATGATAAATGTTGTTTGTAACAGTTATGTCATGCTGTGAGTTGGGGGAGGTTAGGACCCAAGATGCAGACCCAGGATGACACAAGGCAGGAGTAGTGAAAACATAAAAAACCTGTATTTTGGGGTAACTCCAAAGGGCTGGAAGCCAAAAATTAAAAATCCCAAAAAATCCAAGAAAAAAACACCCTGGGAATATCCAAAAACACAAGAGACCAAGAGAAATTCCAAATAGAGAGGGGGGCGAGACAACGCTGACACAAACAATGGACCAACAACCACACTGAGATGCAGACAGGGTTATATACACAAGGGCTGGGTGATTAGGGAATTGTGCACAGGTGAGACCAATAAACAGAGGAGGAGCACAACGGAGCTGGGGAGGAAACCAGACCTAAAAATGGGGAAGGGAGCAAAATGAACTAGAGGGAGAAAACAGACTAGATAAAACACTTAACAGAAGACTAATGATAAAAGGTGTTTAAGGAAAAACGAATGGGAAACCTAGAGAGTCTGGAGGGGGTTGGGGACACACAGGGACGCTGAAACCTGGGGGGAACACCTAAGGGGAAAAAACCTGGAGTGGCCTGGGGAACACAAGGAGGCACATGAAGGAGACGCAGGACGCAGACCATGACAAGTTACTTTGCTCTGATGTTATATTTTAGTTTGTGTGCTTTGTTTTTGTTTTGCTTCAGTATTACAGAAAGGTCTGGTTGTTTACTTTAGGGGTGTGAGAAATAAGCTGAACCTCATCCTGAGTCTTTTCAAGCAAATTACATTATTTATGTGTATAATTTTTGCAGTTAATTGCATAATTTTTTTGTTAGAAATAAAATAGTTTAAATGTGTCACAGTAGTAACTTACTTTAGTGAAATGAATCCCAGTTTAATTTACTGACTTACACATTTTGTTTAAATAATTTGAAAACAAGTTCTAAAGCTAATCCAGTAAACTTATTACACATATGTGTAATTCAAGATTTCTTTAATGCAACTTAATTTTTTTGTTCAGCAACTGTCTGAGTATTTCTGACAGTCTGAAAACACCTACAGTTACCATGGTGCCACTAATTAGAAAATGGCAGCAGCTTTAACATTTCTTTTCATCGTGGTCCCTTTTTCTCCTCTTGTTCAGTTTATACATCCAAATGTTGGCATTTTGTCTTGATTTTGATTATTAAAAGTCAGGTTTGGCTCATTTCAAAGCATCTTCAAAGGTTTAGTTTATGACACATGCTTTAATTATTTTTTTATGTAGGAATTAACTAAAAAAAACTTGATTTTTACAAACAGTTGCCCAAGATGAAGATCAACCAACATGTCCACGTAAGTTTCTTCTTGCTGTGATCACTGCTGTATTAACAAGTTTAATTGTGGTGTTCTATAATAATCAAGACTTTATTTCTAATATCTATTAGTGGCTGAAAGGTTCAAGACTCTGCACAAGTATGAATACCAATATGAAGCTGAATCTTTAAACGGGATCAGTGGAGCTTCACGGCTCAAGAATGGACCTAAGGCTTCCTGCAAGGTGCAACTAATGATTTTGCAGCAAACTGAAATTAATTAATAAAAAAATTTTTTTGGGGGGTGGGGGTTATTAAACGTTGCATAGAAAACAGCAGATCCGAACAACTGCTTTTCGTTTCACACAGGTTGAAGTTGAAGTGCCGCGGACTTGCAGTTTCATCGTTCGCACTACCGGCTGCACGCTGAGCGAGGTGGTGGACGCGGACGCAGAGGGGAACCCTGTGTTCAGTCCTGCATCCAACTCTGATGATTTTGCTGCTGACATGGCAAAGTATGAAAAGTTCTACTGTTTAAAAGTAAAAATCAATAATGTTCTCTGCAAAACAGAAATATACATACATCTGTTTTTAGATCTGCTCTGAAGGTCGTGGTAGATGGCGAGTACAACGTGAAACTCTACCCTGAGGACGGTGAGACGACTAACATCTTGAACTTCAAGAGGGGCATCATCTCCGCCCTGGCTATTCCTCTGCTGGAAGAAGACCGGATCAAAGTCATGGTATTACAAAGAAACTTGATCCAAAAATTAAGATATTCACTAAAATAACATGTTTATTCCTGCAAATTGTTCATATTAGCCCACGATCCACGGCAAGTGCAAGACCTACTACACGGTCAATGCCAGAGAAGACATCGCCACTGACATAAACCTGAACAGGGATCTGTCCAGATGTGAAAAATTTGTGCCAATAAGGGATCACAACAGCCCTCTGGCACTCATCACTGGCATGGTAAGAAACAGATGTGATGTCGAGAAGCTTTGGCATAAATGATAAAGGTCTGCAGGGAAATATAAAACGCATTTACATCGATTTGATGTATATTCTGTATATTTCAGCACTACCCATTGTCTCAGCTGGTTAGAAGCTCCCAAACCTGCAACTACAAGTTTGACAATGAGAAAAAACACATGACCTCTGGTTCCTGCACTGAGAACCACCTCCTCATTCCCTTCTCACACAGGTAAGTCAAAACATGTGAAAGCTTCAAGTGTCTGACAAAACGACAGAATCGTCTTATACAACAAACACTTGTGTGTGTCGTGTTTGTCTGCAGAGGAAAATACGGGGTTACCAATGTAGGAAAGCAGAAGCTGACTTTAGTTGACGTTTCTACTCACAACGACAGAGTGTTTGATCAAGGTAGGTCCTTTTTGTGAAACGTGTCAATAAAAGGGATTCAGGGATTTTTGCTAATCATTTAAGCAATCCAAAGGTTTAAATCAAGGCAACTGGACTTCTTTGGTTTCTTGAAGACGTTGAGCTTCTCATCCGAGGAGCTTTGTCCATTCTGACTGGAATATGGGAAAGGCAAGCTTATAAACTGTAGCTGTGTGTTGTTTCTTAACAAGAGTAAACTAATACCCCTCCTCCCCACCTTCCAATGAGTCGTTGATGTCATTAAGACCTATTGTGTTGGAATGGTTGTTATGATTCGATGCAGGAGGTTGTGACCTAGACTGAAACTGTGTTGGAATTAGGTTTAGAGCTACGTTAGGTGCTGGAACGGTAAAACCTGAGGCCTCCTCCTCTGTTTAGTGCAGGTCCTTCCAGTTTCAAATATAGCTTCCTTTACTCCTCTCTCAAACCATCTATCTTCTCTGTCCATAATTTTTATTTTGTCATCTTCAACAACGTGTCCCTTGTCCTTCAGGTGTGAGCAGACTGCAGAGTCTTGACGCCGTTGAGCTTCTGTTTGGGGTGTCTTGTCTTTCGGATGGCCCATTTTCTGTCTGAGGGTGTTGTTGGGTTAAAAGTTTACTGGGATACAGTTTATAAGCACAACTCTCCCATATTCGTGTCAGAATTGACAAAATGCCACAGATGTGAAGCAAAACGTCTTCAAGAAACCAAAGAAGTCCAGTCGCCTTCATTTGCCACCCTCAGTTAGGCTGTCTCTATCTCTGCCAGTCTTTAAGAGTCGCCTAAAAACCCACCTCCTCCGCTTGGCGTTCCCTGAACGTATTTGAGGTTGGGCCTCTTTCATGTTGACTTTATTTCCCTGTTTTCATTGGTCTCTTTATCCCTTGTTTTATCCATTTGTTTCTACTTTAATGTTTTACCCTTTTTTGCACTATTTGAATTGCTTTTATTATATATTTATTCATTGTGTTTCACATCCCTCGCCTCAGTCAGTGCGCCCCAGGGCAGCTGTGGCTACGCTGTAGCTCATCATCACCAGCGTGTGAATGTGTGTGTGAATGGATGAATGATACACTGTAGTGTAAAGCGCTTTGGAGTCCTTACTCTGAGAGGCGCTATACAAGTGCGGGTCATTCTTTATGTATGAACCTTACTTACATCTGCACTGTTTAAAAATGGACTCCACAATTATCGACTTCCGTACTATTGAGGTTCTTTTTCAAATGTTTTTTCTAATTTTTATTCACCTTGTGTCTTATTGATTTTTAGCTGTTATTTTGGGGAATTTTGTTGTATTTCCTTTTTATCTTTTATCTGTGTTCGACATGTTTGTATAACGCCGGTTTAATTAACTAACATTTTTAGTGTACAGCGCCTTGTTTGGTTGTAATGCCTTGTGAATGCGCTTTATAAATAAAATTGGATTGGATTGGATTGGATGTAGGCTACTGTGGTCAGCGCCTTGGGCTTCCTGACAGGGGAAGGCGCTTTATAAATAAAGCTTTGATTGATTGATTGATTGATTGATTGATTGATTGATTGATTGATTGATTGATCGATTGATCGATTGATCGATTGATTGACTGATTTGAAGCTTTGGATTACCATGACCTGGATGGCTGAGCACCTTCACCAGCACGTTTAAGCTATATATTTATAGTTGAGACTGAAGAGAGTTTGTGTTGGTTTGTTTATTATTTGCCTGATATTTACTTTAGACGATGAGACTATTTTAGAAGAGCGTGTTTTTGCATTTTCCTCATCTTGCTAAAATGAGCAACGCATTTCCACCTAACTTCACAGATATTACAACATATTTGTGTGGGGTTAACGTCAGATAACTTACCACAATCTCACTTTTTACCTGTGAAGGACACATCATCAAGTCTCTTCACATGGAGGATGTTGAGGACAAGAGCGCTGTCCAGGATAAAGACACTGCTCTGAATGTCATGAGAGAGCTGCTCACCTTGCCCATGACTGAAAGCGAGAAGAGGGCCCACCTTTTTCACACTCTCATCTCCACAGTCCGTGGGATGAAGACTGAAACCCTGAGAGCGGCCATTCCAGAGGCTGTTACTTTGTCCCGTTTCTTGACCTACCAGGTTCTAGCCCAGTGTGGAACTCCTGAGTGCAGCAGTGCGATCATGATGATCCTCAGAACCTTTGACACCTCCACTCTCGAGGTTGATGCTGCTGTGATTGCTCTGGGAATCATGTCCAACCCTTCTCCCCTCCTGATCCACGACATGCTCGAGATGGCCAAATACAAGCCCAGTAAGCCCATCATGTATGCTCTGAGCAACGTTGTCAAGAGGTGAGTGAGGTTACTGGTCCTTTTCGGAGTAAAATCTTCCAAACTTTCTTTGTCTAAATGTAAAGTAAGCCAAACATTGTTTCACATGAATCTGTTTTGCCCCTTTAACAGATTTTACAAAGCTGAGGGAGAACTGATTCCTGAGATTAACTCTGTTGCCGAGTTCATGGCTTCTCAGCTGGGTGACTGCACCAGCAATCAGGATAGCACTTTCTTGACGTTGAGGGTGAGCATATCACCTGATAGCTTGAGACTAAAATAAAAGTAGGTGATTTTTGCCCGGTAATAATTATTGGTGTTTTAATTTAGGTTGTTGGAAACATGGCTCCAGCTCTGATCCCTGCGAGTCCTGCACTCCAAAGTGCAGTAATCAACTGTGTGAGGCAACCTGCAGCCTCCCAACAGGTGCAACAAGCTGCTATTCAAGTGTACAGGCAGATTCCAGTCCCCGATGATGTAGGTCGATCAGTTTGTTTTGTTTTTTACTGTAAGCAGGTTAAACGTTTACTAATTAATTAATTTTTGTTGGTTGTAGGCAAAAGGTGTGTTCATGCAGGTGCTTTTGGACAACAGCAAACCTGTGCAAGAGCGCATCGCTGCTTATCTGATCCTGATGAAGGACCCAGAGCTAAGCGAGCTTACCCAGCTGAACAAAGTTTTGTCCAGTGAGGAGGGGCAAGTCAAGAGCTTCATAATCTCCCACATCTCCAACATTATGTCCTCAACCGACCCCAAGACCCAAGAGTAAGGAAAAGCGATGGTGCTGAATGAAGATCGGACACCCTGATTATTGTTAGGTTCAATTGTCTTTTTGTTACTTTCCACAGACTGAAACAAAATATTCAAGATGCCCTGCAAGGGAATGAGATTGAACCTTTGTTGGACCCCATTAGATTTTCTCGCAACTACAGGATCGGATCTCTGCAGGGCAACATGATTTTTGAGGGTGCCAGCTATCTGCCCAAGGAGATTATGCTTGAAATGACTCTAAAGGCATTTGGCTTTGAGATTGACATGATGGAGGTACATATTTTAAGCCACAGAATTCAACCTGAAGGGGGTGTTTGTGCGCCTTTTAGTTTGTCTTGTTTGGTAGAAACACTTGTTATCCATGCAGGTTGGAATGGAGGGCAAGGGATTTGAAGAAACCATCGAGGCCCTGTTTGGAGAGAATGGATTCTTTCCTGACACCACCATGAAGACCACGTACTTTGTGTCTGACAACATGCCGCAGACAGTCAACGAGATCCTGGAGACCATCGTGCCTGGACTGAAGAAGAACAGGATGAGGAGACAGGTACTCCATGCAACCTTGCATACATCAATCAGACAAAATTAAGGATTTAAAACCAATAAAATCAGCATTCTTAGAGGTTGTCCACATCTGTATTTAGACTTCGGAAAGCCTGATGAAGGACATTGGACAGAACGTTGACAAACTGGTAAGACAGCTGAAAGAATCAGCGTCTCCAGAGGCGATGGTTTATCTCAGACTCTTGGGAAATGAGCTGGGGTATCTGAAGACAAGTGATTTTGAAGAGATGACCTATTCCGCTGGCAAGATATTTGACAACATGCTCAAACTGTTCCCGCAAAGCGTGAGTTAAAGATATTAGAGATTTGATTGTTTTAAAATTCTATCTGGATGTAAAATTTGTTCTAATTGTTTTCATTTGGCACAGATGATAAAGTCACTGATGACCAACCCTGACAACAAAATCTTTGCCCACTATGTCTTCATGGACAATGAATTCTTCCTGCCAACTGTCACCGGTGTGCCTCTGAGGATTGCGGTGTCTGGTACATTCGCTCCTGGTTTTGAAGGTGGACTTCAAATCCGTCGTGACAGGGTGATTATGCATTTTGTTCATATCTGTTGTGGCTGCCACGAGGGGGCAGTATAGGATAGGGAACATAGGTAGGAAAGAGAAGAAGTGAGTGAGAGAGATGGATGCCTGATTCTGCTACATGTGACACAGGTTGAATAAAGCTTGGAAAAGGAATTATTACCTATTAGCAGAGGTGGAAAGTAACGAATTACATTTACTCACGTTACTGTAATTGAGTAGCTTTTTTGTAAATTTATACTTTTTAAGTCGTTTTTAAAATCTGTACTTTTACTTTTACTTGAGTAAGTTTTTAAAAAAGAATTGTAATTCGCTACATTTTAAATCATATCCGTTACTGAGTAAAAATAAATTGTAGGCTTAATAAATTAAAAATATTGCGTGTAGCAGCGTCGGAACAGAAAGAGACACCTGCATGAGCGCCACGTCTAAACCGGGGAGGGGGGGGCTACACGCTTTATGATGAGGACAAACAGCCATTTTTACCGCAGTTTTGCTCAAAAACATCAGTTCAGTCCCTGTGATCCACTCGCTGTTTACCTCCTCTCTCCTGTGGGTTGGAACCCGCACCTTCGTGCACCGGTGTGACGTCATCAGAATTCTGCTCGGTTCGGCAACCAGACTCGGTTCCGTGTTTGAAATGTGTTTCCTTACCGCGCACGGAAGCGGCAAAATAACGTTTAGCGCTCCTAACAAGTGGATTCTCAGCGCTCTGCTCATAAAACAGAAGACTTGCAGGCCTCTGTGAGTTAATCCTGATACTGTTCAGGTGTAAACATTGTGCTCCATCCCTGTGTTTGAACTCAGAAGATGCTTCTTGATGCCACAGATATGGGATGATTTAGCTTGTTTCTTTTTTTTTACTCCAGAATAAGAGATTCAATTATTACTAAAGCAGTTCAGTGTAGTTAAATTAGTTATTCAAATGATTCTAACATGCTGCTGATGTGTGTGTGTGTGTGTGTGTGTGTGTGCGCGCGCGCGCGCGTGTGTGTGTGTGTGTTACACATAAAGGACTGCATGAGACAGCATGGCTTCATCAAATCCATGCATCCTATATCTTGGCTGAAGTAATGGCTCAGGAAAATAACTTGTATTTAATAAACAATGACGTCTCTGCAGTGTTTATGATAATGTTTTATCTTATATTTGACCTATTTTTGGTCTGGGAGGTGTAACTTATCATGATGCAAGCCTTTTAAAACATGTTAAAGTGTTACAAGAGGAGATAAATGCATGAATTTAAAGTTCATATTTGGAGACCAACCTTCACAGTGTGGAGGCTCATGCTGGTGAGGAGACACAATTAGTTCTAGTAACACCTGGGCTCCCAAGGCCTGTTCTGACAGGATGGATGTTACGGGACCCTTAAGGATTCCAGTTGGATGATTGGAGGATTATTTAGGAGGATTGGGATGAACAAACTGGTTTCAGTGGTGAAGGGTTAAAGGTATTGGCTCGGCATTAAAATTGTAGAAATGCAAAATAACTACACTTTATTATCTATATAAACATGTACTGGGTCCAGTTTTTTATTTTATTAAGGACTTTTGTCATAAATGATTACAGAAAATCCAAATCCTCTCCTCCAGACAGTGAAGAACTGTGTTTCGCATACATCACTCCAGCACGTAAAACAAGCTAGCTGCTGATGCTAATATTGTGAATCACTGTTATTTGTTTACTTTGATGCTCCTTATTATTATGTAAAATTGCGTTTACAGCTGCAGCAAAAGGTCTGAGCCATGTGTCTGTGTCCTACACACATTTTTAAATAACAGGTCTGATCTAAAATAATAACCTACATCTATAAATCCATCTAGAACCGCACCGCTACTTCTGGACTCCAGACGAGTCCCGTTAGCATGACTGCAGCAAAACTAACCGTGTTCGCTCCGGTAAGGAATGAACAAGTCCTTTGGGAAAGCTACGACACACACACACACACACACACACACACACACACACACACACAGATATAATCTAAAATATGATCTCTATATTTCAACATTAGAACCTCCATGACATCCTGGATTAGTGCAAACAACGAGCTGAGCTAAGGAGTTACTCCAGCATCAGGAAGATTTATTCTGGTAAATTGTTGGTTAAATATTTTCCAGAGTTATGTCAATAAATACACACAGCAGTAAAACTGTAGATTACTGAACTATATTGGGACACATGATGGAGCTAAGACCAGCTGAAAACTTGCCAGCTTAGAGCTCCCAGTGGAGCACAGAAATGAAATATTTAAGAAAAGTAAACAAACTGTACCGATTTTGGTTCTGAAGATGAACAGAATCCTCCTCTATGTCCAAATCAGTTCGCAGGTCTTCTGAGTCAAACGGTCTAAAACATGTCTGCACCTCTGGTAGTGATATCCAGCTGGCGGGGTCGGAGTTCGGTTGAACTTCTCCAGTAATTTAACATCCGTTCTCGTCGCCGTATCCCAGAGAAAAAACAAATCTGACTGACTAGTAGAGGCTTCAGAAGCTACATCTGATTGATGACACATTGTTCTCTGCTATAACGCTAACGCAGAAACAGCGGAGCCAGGCGTTGTTTACTACAGCTGTTTCAGCAGAGCTCCATGTGAAACGTCACCAGCTGCCCAGGGCTTAGACTGGAAGTTAGTTTCTGTTTTTCCTACGCCAGTCACAAACATCAGATTTTCTTCCAATTCCAGCCGTCAAAATCCAAAAACCTTTTTCATCTGAGATTTTAATACACATTTACACATGCTGTTCAAACAAATTTTGCCTCTGGCCGATATCTTTAAATGAGTGAGTGAACCCACTACCAAAGATGAACTCTGCTAACTTTAAAAATCAGCTGCTCTAAATAAGCATTCAGGGAAAAGTCATGGGCTTGTGACTATAACCTAATTTATGTTACTAGTTTGCAGTGTAACTGCCTTTGTACTTCAATATGCATATTTGTTCATTTAATTAAAAAAACGGCCACTTTGACATTTATACCCCATTGTCTTTTTTTTAACTATTCAGAAGAGCCCGTCCTTGCACAGTCAAAAAAGTAACTAAGTAACTTTTACTCTGACTACATTTGAAATAAGCTACTTTTTACTTTTACTTGAGTACATTTTGAGGCAGGTAATTTTACTTGTAATTGAGTAAAATTTCATGAAAGTAATTATACTTGTACTTAAGTACAACATTTTAGTACTCTTTCCACCTCTGCCTATTAGTGATACTTCCTGAAACAAATAAAATCAAAGCAAGTTTTTGTTACATCTACCATTTCCTGGTGATTCTTCGCAGAGCACATTCACCTTCATGCCATCGCCTGGAGTTGAGTTTTCCACTCACTTTGGTTCCCACTTCCCTGAATATGTTAATTCTGGACTGGAGATGCACACCAACATTTATACCGAAAGAGAAATCAGAGCCAAGCTCTCCTTGGGAAGTAACAACATTAAGCTTACCATTCCAGCCCCAACCAAGCCTATGAAGCTCATTAAAATGACGTAAGACACTTTAATAAACATTTACTTTAATAAAAACGAATTTCAGATCTTTTTAAAGAAAAAAACTGTATTATTTAAATTACAGAAACGCATTGGTGGCAGTGACTGGATCAGAGGTGAAGACTATTCCTCCAGTAGTGATGGACAAAGTGGATGTTAGCAAGTGCACGAATGGCTTCGCTGGACTTAAACTCTGCACAGATCTGCAGTACATCAATGCATTCTCTCAAGAAACAGCCCCCTATTTCCCCCTCACTGGTGACAGCAAGTGAGTAAGACTTCCTTAACTGTCAGCAAATAACAAATTACAATCAAAATGGTCTAACGAAAAGGTATTGTCATATTAACAACATAGATTTGCTTTGGAGCTCCACCCAAACGGAGATGTCACCGAGTACACAGCCACCATTGCTTATGAACTCTTGCAGGAGGTAGAAGGTGAACAGAAGGTTGACTCTTTGAAGTTTATCATGAGAGCTGAAGGTGATCATCATTACTAAAGATTTTTAATCTGCTGAATGAATGAATTTGGAGATGTTTGAACTCATCTGATTGCCCATTAACAGGTGCAGACCCAACTGAAGCTAGATTAGTTCTGAAATTAAACAGAAACAAGAACTTTGCTACAGCAGACATCAAGATCCCTGACTATGATGTGGATGCTGGACTCACACTCGGCGTTGTTGATGGACCGAGCAAGGACAGTCACGCCATCTCACTTGACTTCACAAACAAGAACATCTCACAGCTCTCCCTGGTTGCACGTGCTAAGTAATAAACTACACTCAAACAATCATAAAATAACAGAAAACAAGTTGGTTTGCTCACTAACTAGTACATGTTTCAGTTTGAAGGCCACGGAAGGAATGTTTCAAGTCCAGATGCTAGTGCCCTCAATCAAAGCTGAAAGCAGCATCACAGCTAGTCTGAAATACGACGAAGAACTGGAGCTGGAACTTGAAAGTGAAATGAAGATCATGGATGCCACCTCTGAGCAGAAGATTGAACTAAAATACGGTGATGTCATTTTACATTTACATGTTTTATTGGATGTAAATCTGAGTAACATTGTCAAATGTATTATTTCCAAGTGTCCTACCCTATCCAAACATTCTCAATTTATCATAATGTTTGTAAACGATCTGGATTTGTACAGCCCCTTCTAGGGTTCTACAAGCTCCAAAGCGCTTCACAGCACAATTACTCATTCACCCATTCACACACACACACATTCACACACTTCTGGTGACGAGCTACAATGTAGCCACAGCTGCCCTGGGGCGCACTGACAGTGTTACCATCTGTTATAGGTGAAACTTGAAAAATAAGAATATTGTACTAAAGTTAATTTGTTTCGGTAAAAGCAAACGGGGCCCAGAGCAAGTACTGATTCATGATTTTACTTTTTCAGATGTCCAGCATTTCTCTAATCAAAATCCCCTTTTTCATTAATTTTATGTAATATTATTATTTTCGGAGGTTTTTAATTATACATTTGATTCATATAACCCATAATCATCGCAATTAGAACTAATTAAGGCTTTGCATATTGAGTCTATCTCATATATTAGGTCATACGTCATAGACCTCGGCATTTCTCAATACACTCAGACATGTTTAAATTTATACTCCTAGATTGTTTGAATCAGCGTACTACAGTGTACTGCTTGTTGGTATCATTTTTATTCTATTGTTATTTTGGTTTACTTGCTTTTTACTTTAACTGCTTTTTACCCAGAATGTCCACTTTCTGCTGTGACAATGCAAATTTCCCACTTGTGGGACTACTAAAGGATAATCTTATCTTATCTTATCTTATCTTATCTTATCTTATCTTATCTTAGTTTTACTTAGTAAGTGGAATTACTGAAATACATTTTAAATACACTTTTTAGATTAATCTGTATGTCAGTGTTAAATCAGTTAAACATGAAGAGAAAATCATATTTGTTTTATTGTAATGTTTACATCTTTAGATGGGAGCAAGATTAAAGTGAAGGGCGAGTCTGATGTGAATATGAAAACATCGTCTTTTGAGAACTATGCCAATGAGGTTCTTGATATACAAGTGGGGCAGACTGACATGAAAGTCCGTCAGATCTTCAGAAAGTTTGTGGAGGTACACGTTTTTATAGTCAGTCACATTTCTGTCGGTTGAAGTTTAAACAAATAATAAACAACCCCTTCTGTCTTTATTGTGGCTTTTAGGCTGCAAACAATTACATGGAAAAGTATGGCCCTGAAATGCTTCCTTACATGAAGGACTTCAGACTTCCCGACATCCCAGAGATTTCTCTGCCAGAAAAACTCTTCTTGAAAAGGTAAGTGCACAAAGCTCCACCGTGAATACTTTATTGAGCAGCTTTATTAACAAAATATATATATACTTTTAATCTATTTTAACAGCGAGTCAAAGGCTGTGTACTACTTAAGCAGGGAACACTTCACAATTGCAATCCCACTGCCTTTTGGAGGAAAGTCAACAACAGAGTTACATTTTCCAAAAGTTCTGACCACTCCGAGCCTTTCTCTACCACAGTTTGGAGTGGAAATTGCCTCAAGAAAAATTCCAATCCCAGATGTAGTTTTTCCAGAGAGTTTCTCGTTGTCCTTCCCTTTGTTTGACAAAGCTGAGTTCTCAGCAATGGTGAACAGCAATCTTTATGATGTGGAGGCGACAGCGGCTGCTGGAAAAGACGTTGTTGAACCACCAAGCTACTCAGCCAGGTTTGACTTGAAAGGAACTTCCCCGATTGACATCCTCTCAGTAGCAGTTGAAGGTAATTTACAAAGATGTTTTAAAATTCAAATTATAGTATTTCTTTCATTCTGAATGTAGACTGATGCTTGATCTGTGCTGCTTGTTGGCAAAACATTAGCATTTAGCCCAACGATGCCAAGAGGTCCTCAATTGTGCTTTCCCTTTGTGTTTTACCTGTAGGCACTGGAATGGTGTCCATGAGGGATGCTATCAAGGCCCATTTGAGAAGCTCTTTCACCCATAAGTTCGTTGAAGCTACATTTGGTATCGAAGAAGAAGGAATTATTACAGACAAAATAAATCTGAAATCAGTTAGAAAAATAGAAGTAACAAGTCCATTTGGGCTTGATGTAGCTCTAATCCACACTGGTATGGCTGAAATCAACACTCAAGGATTGTCTGGTGACAGCAAATTTGAAGGATTGCTCAGTGCTGGACCAATCTTTAGCAAAACTATTTCAACTCAGTCATTTGCCATATTCCCATTCAAACCAGAAGCAAAGATTGAATCCACTCTTCAGCTTGACTCTACAATTCTTAAGGCCCAAAACACAGTTGCAGCAAGCCTTGCCAATGGCGAAGTCTCTTTTGTGTCTAACACAAATGCCTTTGAAAATGCCTACACCCATGTTGCTGATATCTCCTTCAAAAACAGCCAACTAAAAATGAAATGTGAATCAAATTTCCTTGCCTTCGGGATAAAGATCCGCAACTTAGGCGAGGCCTCTGCTGGTGCTGGTAAAGTTGCCATCAGAATGGAGACAAATGGAGACCACTCTGGTGATCGTGTTTACTCTCTACTGATTGCCTCTCTTGATAAAGATGGTGTGGCTGTGAGTTGTGATGCAAACATAAAGCTTTTGGAGCATGAGGCCACCCACAAGGTCATTCTGCAAATGAACAAGAATGGATTGAGCACCAGTGGAATAACTACTCTCCACGGGCCCCTGTCTTTGGAAAACACCTTTAAAGCTCATATTGACTCTACAATGGCCATTCTATCACATGCCAACAAAGCAGACATAAGTGATGTGAAGGTTGATAACAGCAACACTCTTATCCTGACTTTGTCTGGCCTTGACTTAAGCTCAAAGACTGAAGCTAGTGCAAGTGAATATGCCTCTTACACGCATGATATAATCTTCAAACTAAAACCGTACACTGCTTCTTTAAAATGTGAAAACAGTCTGAACATTCTGGACGTCAGCTTCAGCAATGAAGCACAATTACTGACAGAGCTTTACAAGATCGACCTGAGCGGAAACCTGAGGGCCACATATGGAGACAATGAGATCAAGCATGACTACCAGATTAAATATGCCGATCTGAGCACTAACGCTAAGTGTAGCACCACGGCGAGACTCTTTGGCACTCACATGAGTCACAATAGTGAACTTGAAATTGTAGGTCTTGCTGCAAAGTTCATTAACGATGCTCGATTCTACTCTCAACCAATTCGCTTTGACAACAGTATCCAGTGGAGTGCTGTTCCTTTTGACTTTAACTTGAATGCCATCTTCAATGCTAATGGAGAAATGACTATGTATGGAAAACAGAGTGGACAGCTTTATGGCAAGTACCAACTCGCAGCACAACCTCTGGCTTTTGCCAGCTCCCATGAATGCAGAGCATCAGTGACCCAGCAAATGGATAATGGTTTCTCCTTAGAGACCATATATGATCATAAGATAAATACCGTTTTGTCCCCCCAGGAGCAAAAGGCCAGCTTGAGAATTAAATCTAAAGTGAATGAGCATTCATTCAATCAGAACATGGAGGCATACAACACTGCTGATGAAACTGGAATTGAGCTTTCAGGGACCATCCTCACAGATTTCTTCAACACAGAGAACAAGGAGTTCACACTCTCTGGCTTTCTCAAGTATGACAAGAACACAGACAGTCACATCATTCAATTCCCTCTGATGGAAAGTTTTCCTATCTTCTTGGAGAGTGTCAAGGAATTTGTTGTGTTAATGGCAGAAACTTTGCATAACTTCATGGAAAACCAGAATGTGCAGGCTAGACTTGAGGCGCTTATCCAGGCCGTAAATGAATTTCTTTCTGACATAAACATAGCAGACAAGGTAAATCAATTAAAGCGATTCTTAAGAGATTTAACCCCGGATTTTAATCTACAAATAGATCAATTGAAAGCGTTGTTCTATGACTCGAGCCCAACCATTGAGAGGCTGCTGAAGGATACGTCTGACACCCTTCGGAGTTTTTTCGAAAATCTCCGTGAAGCTTTTCATACAAGCAACGTTGTTGAATCTTTCAATGAAAAGGTAGATGACATTGCAAATGCCCTTGCTGACATCAAGCCTGTAGTTTTGCATTGGATTGATGTCATAAGAGAGCTGATTGATCAGACTGACCTAGAAAAACTGAAGGGCACCAGTATTCAGTTGCTGTACGATCTCAATTCCCAGTACAACATAAAGGCCAAAGTACAGGATATTGTGACTGATATTAGAGAAACTGTTGACAGTTTTGATGCAGAATATGTTGTAAAGAACCTTGGAGAACTCATTCGATTTATAGAAGATGTCTTCTTAGAATGCATTGGCGCATTTTTGCATTACATACCAAGAGATATTCTCCATTCATTAAGACCCTACATTAACACAGTGGTAGAGGAGCTTGACATATTTGGCAAAATCAACTATGTCTATACCAAGATGAAAGAATTGCTTGTATATCTTGAAATAGACAAAATGTCACGGGTTGTCTTGGAAAAAGCTGCAGACCTTGTTTCTGAGCTCAGAATAAAGGAAATGTTTCAGGCTTTGGACCAAAATGTGAGGAATGCAAACATTCCCAAGAGAATTAGGGATTTCTATGTAGCTGTTGGTGAATATGTGACAACAACTGAGGTCAAAGACATGATTGAACAGCTGAACACATGGATCAAAAATCTGGTGAATCAGCTCAAGTCTCTGAAATACAACGAGGTTGTGAATTACGCCAACCTATGTGTAGCTGAGATCACAACTTACGTGAATAAACGTATCAAGGCTTTCGAAATTCCCAAGAAGCTTGAGGCAACGCAAGAGTTTGTGAACGAAGTCTTTTCTGCAGTTCAAGTGTTAGTGGAGCATATCAGAGAGATCAAAGTTGCAGAAATGATTAAATCTGCAAAGGATGTAATTGAAACAGTCGTTTGTGATTCCTTTAAGAGATTTGTCCAACTCATTAAAAAGAAAATAGAATCAATGGACATCAGAAAAGAACTTTCCAACTTTGTAGATGACTTTAGGCAACTTTACAGATTTAGCAAAGGGTTATTCCTGAGCTTAATCCACGATTTAGTCCGTGAAACCTTAAGGATTTTTAAGAAAGTATCACTTGATGAAAAATTCGTTGATGAGATTTCGGACATGTTTAATAGGCTTTTTGCGGAACTGAGAAATTGTGATGTCTACTTGCCATCCTTCACCATTCCTCTTACAGATCTTGTTGTGCCACACATAAAGCTCAACTCGCGAAACACAATTGAATTTGCAGCAAAAGTTGACCTCCCTGAGTTCACCATCCTGGGCATGTACAAAGTGAAAGCAATCACGATTTCCTTTGATGACATTAAACAGAAAATCATTGAACTCCTTGATTTCATTGCAAACTTTGAAATCAAACTGCTTGATGTTGATGCTTTCTTTGGAGATCTGAGTTTGAGCTACCTCCCTACCTTGCCTGAAATCCGCTTGCCAGAATTCACTGTTCCCGAGGTAACGTTTCCTACTATTCCAAAATTTCCTGTGGAAAGTCTTAAGTCCCTAGAGGTTCCTGAATTCAAGCTGCCCACCATTTCAGATGAGATCATGATCCCATGCTTTGGTAAACTTTATGGAGAGATTAAATTCAGCTCTCCTTTCTACACTGTCAAGACATCTGCTGAATTCCACAACGCCACTAAGAGTAAAACAACACCTCTCTTCACTGGAATATTCAATTCTCAGGGCACAGCTGCCGATATGGAATTTCTCAATTACAAGCTCGAAACCAATGCTCAAATTGTAATCCCAAAACTGAAACGTGTCGTCCTTGCAGAGAATTTAAAGTTCGAGCATGTTGTATTTGGAGTTGACCATCAAGCATCTGTGACTCTGTATGGTCTGTCAGCTCAAGCCCAAGCAAAGACCAAACTCAAAGTTGATACCACACCTTATGCTGCCAATTTAGAAAATACAGCATTTATCGGTGCGGATGGAGGAATGACTGCTCATGCTGAGACAGCCTACACTCATGTAATTAGCATTCCAGTTGTTGATTTCTCAAATGAGGTTTCCATTACTCAAAAGTCAGTGGCTCGCCAAGAAGGCTTCACTTATGAAATGTCAGCTGACAATTCAGGAAATGGAAATTTTAACGGTCATGATTTCAACCATCTCAGTGAGTTTCGATGGTCACTCAGCCCTGAGATCGTCACCTTTTCACTTTCTGGTGACACGAACTCTCCCATCCTAAAGATGAAACAGCTCATCACAACTGAATCAGCTACATTTAGCTATTTCAAGTTCAATGTAAGCAATGAGGCAGAGACACCAGTCATGAGGAAAAGTCTTTTTGTGGCATCTGGTCACGCTAGCATTCAAGATATGAAGATTGAGATGAAAGCAAACCATGATGCAGAACTAATTAGTTTAGGACTCTTATCCAATGTGTTCAACTTCAAACTCCGTCCAGTTGAATTTGTCCTTGAATTCCAAAACAAGGCAAATGCCAGGGTTCCCATTTCTGACTCACTGACCAATAAGATAGATTTTCAGAATGATTACCTTGTCGACTTACGTCCTGATGGCCAAAAGATGAAAGGACTGTTCTTAGCTCAACTAAATACGAACAAAATAGCCTCCAACTTAACATTTGAGAATAACAGAAATGAAATTGGTGCTTCTGCTGCAATGGAAGGTTATACTGATTTGGACTTCCTGAATGTCCCCATAGACATTCCTCAGATTGATCTACTTTTGGATGATGAATTATATATTCCTGCTGTCAAAAACGTGAACTTCTATGAGTTGATTGGACTGCAGAACATTTTGACTACAACTAAGCAGGATCTTAATGTGGATGCCAAAATTCTTTACCAGAAAAGTAAATCTGCCCCACTTGTTAAAATAATGAATCTGATTCCCATTCCCTCCATGGGTAAACTTATCACAGATTTCTCTTTCAAGTCTGCCATCTTTAACCTGAACACCAATACTTTGTTGTCTCCGGAAGATGACGTTGTGCTTCGCCTAAAAGCCAACACTGCCTCTGTATTTGATTATCTAAATGCCAAATTTGAAGGCACCACCAGCCTGATCACCAAAAGAGGAATTAAGTTGGCCAACTCTCTCTCCCTTCAAAATCCTCACATTGAAGGCACTCATACCAGCACCATCAGCATGAGCACAGATACTTTTGAAGGAGCTGCCTCGGTCGATTCCCTGGCGAAGATTACCTTGCCAGTACTCAACCTGGAAGCAAGCCACAATCTGGTTTCAGACATCAAGTCAAAAGCCAATGCTCAGTCTATCTTGAAGCTCAAGAGTGATTTAAACATCCCTAGGTTCAATGCTATTGGAAAGGCTGAAGCAGACCACACTTTGAAGCTGGAGGGAAACGTTAAATACATTTCAGCAGAATCCATCTTTAAGTCCAATATGAATGGCGCAGTATTCAGAGACTACTTATCTCTAGGACTCCTGGATAATGAGGTGAAACTTTACCTGGATGGAACAGGCCTTCGCTCGTCTTCCAAGGCTACAGCTGTTGCTAGGCTCAGCCACGGTACGACCAAAATTGTTTTAATGGAAATGAACAATAATGTGGCTGCTGAGGCCTCCATGGCGCGTATCTTTGCCACACTGAAGCATACGAGCAACAACGAAGAAAACATTTTCAAATTTACAACCAAGGGATCTCACAACATACAGGCTGGTGTTGATTTAACATCACCCTCAATGACCACTGATATTGAGATTGATTTGAGCCAACAAAGCAACCTTGGTGACTTAACCTACTTCGAGAAGACAATTACTGAAGTGACCTCTTCTAAGCAGAAGTTCTTCACAGACATCAAGTTTGGTAGCCCACTATATAGCACAAGAATGGAAGCTAAAGCTGAATGCAGTGTCCCTGACGTCCTGGTCACATTTAAGTCCTCTGCCACCTCCCCTGTTTTGATCCTGGAATATGACTTGAATGGTAAGTTGATTAAAATCTGACGTGTCCAAAATATCCTTAAGTAGAAAACTCTGCATAGGTTGAAGTGTTTGTCATTTTTCCTGTCTTTTTTAGCTCAAGCCACCTCAAAGTTAGAGAATGGCCTCCTGACCACGGATGGCAAACTTCTCCTGACTCATTCTGACGTGACCGTGAATGTCAACAATGCCATTGTCAAAAATTTCAGGTAACAATCTTCTGTTAATATTTTCTAAATTATTGATAACCTCAATTTAGGAGGAAGCACCAAGCTGACAAAAGTATTCACTTTTTTAAGTGCTGTTCAAAACACTTTTGGAATAAAAAAAATTGTTGCGATTTCTAAGATTATAAATGTTATCTTATTTACTGTAATTTAGGAGAAAACGCCAAGCTGACCAAAGGTAAATATTCACTTTGTTTGGTGCTGTTCTTAATACTTTAAGAATAAAAACTGGTTGCAATTTTTAAGATTTTTAAATGTTCTATTTCTTTTGCAGTGACCTTGGTCATACCTTGAATGTTGACATCACCAGTCCTACTTTCACTGATATGAACATCCAGTATACTGCAAATAGAGATGTCATCAGTGCCTCGGTATCTACTCCAGCTGCAGGCTTCCTTGGACTTCAGCTTAATTTCATAGACCCGTTTCAGATGAGTGGCAAACTCTACGGCCGTCATCCTGTGAGTTTTTCTATTTTATGGTTTTCATTTCAAATCTACAATAAAAAAAAATGCATTCTCAAATCAAAGCACGGCTAACCTAAACTTATTTGTATTCTTGTAGACAATACCAGAAAAAGATGTAGACATCTTGGTCATCAGAACATCTAAGGACACTCAGAATACCAATTTGGAGATTGTCTACAAAATGGATGCTCCTGAGGCAATGATTTCTGAGCTTAAGGCCAAACTCCCCTCCATCATCTCTGCGTTTACCGCATTTGCTGATAAGTATCAGATTACAAGGGGTGTGGATATGTTGAAGGACACCGTCAGTAACCACATCACCGAAGCCTACAATGTTGCAGTCAACTATGATGTTCAAAAGAGCCAGATGTCAATTTTCTTCAGGAACACTGTTGCACAGTACCAAAAGACTGTTCAGAAGGTCCTTAATGCTATCATTAAATTCTTGAGGGAGACCCATATCAAGCTGCCTTGGTCCGATGAAATGATTACCATCCCTGTACTCCTCAAGAGGGTGACTGATAACTTAGCTTTTTTTCTGGATGAAGCTGCCCAGATTATCTATGAGAACACAAAGGTATACCTTGAATACTTTGCTGAGATGATAAGCAATGTTGAAGTGCACATACCAACTGGCGATGTCATTACCGGGAGGGAGTTAATTGATGAGACCAAAACAATGGTCAGAGAAATCTGGGATGAAGTGTTGGACTTCGTGAAAGACATGGACAGTCTTGACATAATGCTTGAACAAATGGATGATATTGTGATGGTTGTTGTTAGGGAAACTCAAGACATTGTTGATTCTATTAAATCTGACTATTTAGATTACATCTTTATGAAAGTCAATGAGATGTACAGCGAGATTGTCACAGCTGGTGGAGAATATGTTGACCAGATCGATCCTTTGAGCATGGAGGATTTCAGAAGGGCATGTGAAGGCGTCGTGGACAACTTCTTTCAACTCATACAGCAGTTCAAAAGTGTCTTTTCTGAATTTCTGCAGGACATTTCTAAAGAAGTAAACTACATGACAGTTAGGGATGGAAAGCTTAACATCAACCTTCCGCTTGATCTCTAGAATTGAAAAACTAAGCACAGCACACTACTATTTGGTCTAGGTGTGGACAATTTGTCGATATTTATAACAATGAGAGTGATAGAAAATCATGTATTTCTTTACATTGTGATTGTTCTACACAAATACTGGATTTGTAATGTTTTACTGGGACTCACAGTCCAGCCAAGAGCAACAGGAAAGATTAAAAGTCAATAAAACAATCTTTAATGTGTTGGTTTGATTTGTTTGGAAATTTCTATATGAATTAAAAGTTTTTAACTACCATCTCACCTAAAGGATTATTAGGAACACCTGTTCAGCTTCTCTTTAATGCAATTATCTAATCAACCAATCACATGGCAGTTGCTTCAATGCATTTAGGGGTGTGGTCTTGGTCAAGGCAATCTCCTGAACTCCAAACTGAATGTCAGAATGGGAAAGAAAAGGGATTTAAGCTATTATGAGCGTGGCATGGTTGTTGGTGCCAGAAGGGCTGGTCTGAGTATTTCACAATCTGCTCAGTCACAAGGATTTTCACACACAACCATTTCTAGGGTTTACAAAGAATGGTGTGAAAAGGGAAAACATCCAGTATGCGGCAGTCCTGTTGGTGAAAATGCCTTGTTGATGCTAAAGGTCAGAGGAGAAAGGGCCAACTGATTCAAGCTGATAGAAGAGCAACTTTGACTGAGATAACCACTCGTTACAATTGAGGAATGCAGCAAAGCGTTTGTGAAGCCACAACACGCACAACCTTGAGGCGGATGGGCTACAACAGCAGAAGACCCCACCGGGTACCACTCATCTCCACTACCAATAGGAAAAAGAGGCTACAATTTCCACAAGCTCACCAAAATTGGACAATTGAAGACTGGGAAAATGTTGCCTGGTCTGATGAGTCTCAATTTCTGTTGAGACATTCAAACGGTAGAGTCAGAATTTGGCATAAACAGAATGAGAACATGGATCCATAATGCCTTGTTACCACTGTGCAGGCTGGTGGTGGTGGTGTAATGGTGTGGAGGATGTTTTCTTGCCACACTTTAGGCCCCTTAGTGTCAATGGGCATGGTTTAAATGTCACGGGCTACCTGTGCATTGTTTCTGACCATGTCCATCCCTTCATTACCACCATGTACCCATCCTCTGATGGCTACTTCCAGTAGGATAATGCACCATGTCATGAAGCTCCAATCATTTCAAATTGGTTTCTTGAACATGACAATGAGTTCACTGTACTACAACGGCCCCCACAGTCATCAGATCTCAACCCTTCTCATCCCATCTTTGGGATGTGGTGGAACGGGAGGAGCTTCGTGCCCTGGATGTGCATCCCACAAATATCCATCACCTGCTAGGTGCTATCCTATAAATATGGGCCAACATTTCTAAAGAATGCTTTAAGCATCTTGTTGAATCAGTGCTACGAAGAATTAAGGCAGTTCTGAAAGCGAAAGGGGGTCAAACACTGTACTTGTATGGTGTTCCTAATAATCCTTCAGGTGAGTGAAGGGAGGTGAGCAGCAGATGGCAGCACTACTGCACCCAGTCTTTCCTGTTCGAAATACTGCTTCTTAGGGTTATATTACTAAAAGAGCTTAGTTGTAACTGCTGAAATACTAACAATATGTAAGTAAGTAATGTTTATTCATGTAGCATTTTTGTCAGAAAGTGTCACTAAGTGCTTCACAACAACAGCAAAGTGATACAACAACAACCGTATAGATACCATAAAGAATGGATACCATAAAATCAATCAAAAGGAAAGCTGCATAGAATTAAAATAAATAAAAATCAATGAAATTAATGAAAAGCCTGAGTAAACAGATGTGTTTTTAGCTACTATTTTAAAGACTCCACAGAAGTTAAAGAGTGCAGGGTCTGGGGTAAATCTTTCCATAGTGTGGGGGCCATTGCCTGAAATGCCCGATTGCCTCTGGTCCTAAGCTTAGTTCAGGGCACTTCCAGTAGCCATTTGCCTGAGGGTCTGTGAGAGTGTCCTGGGTTGTGGACAGTCAGTAGATCAGTGACATAATCGAGTGCCTGACTGTGTAACGCTCTGGATTTTGAATTGGATCCCATAGAGAACTGGGAGTCAATGTAGTGTTGCTAAAACAAGTCTAATGCAACAAGTCTGACATCAGATTTTTACTCAGCACATGCATAATAATGTGTAAAGATGACATCAACATTTTTTTCTTCCAATGTTAAGTTTTCATCTCCCACTGCCCGTGTTTCTACAGTCATAATGAAATTTAGAGAGATGTTCTATGTTTTAACAACTTAAATACATTTAGCATGTCTGATTTTAATAATCAAAATTAAAGTTATTGTGTTTGATCAATTGCAGATGGCCACAGCTGTATTATATAAAACTAATACATTTAAATGTAACTGTTTGCCCACATATCATTTCAAACTATTTTTAAATGCTTGCTACATTTGTATTGCATACTTAATTACAGGAATTACATAAGCTGCTGGGTACACAAGCATTTAATAATTAAGAGGTAACTATGAAAAATACAAACCTGTGTATTACTGTGTCATAAAAATTTTGTTAATTAGAAAATAAAAAAAGTCATGCCAAACAAATCCTAAATTCAAATCCCAATCCTTTACCCATATCCTGCAGCTCACAAGGCTGCATTGGAGAGTCTAAAATAGATTTTCTCCCAAGTCTGGTGCAGCTGCAATCACTCTGCTCAGTGCTGATGTTACCCTTGTGCAACCTTCGACACCCGTTCTTTGCTGATTAACTTATCTTGAGTTCAGTTCTGTTGTAATCCCGATCAAATAGCATTCACAGAAATCTTTCACCAGGTGAAAGGTCAACGAGCAATAAACAGGTACAGAGAACTGATGTTTTGGCAGAAGCCAAATGAAATGAGTTATTATTTGATTTTCAAATTAAGAATTTTAAAGATAAAAATTACTAATCTGAATTCTGAAGAGAGGATTATTGAAGTTTTGTGCAACATGTTCCAAATAATAAATATTGAGTTTACCCAGTTCGCCGGTTATATTGAAGGTAAGGATTTTAGTTTGGAAAAAATCCATCCACCTGATAAAGCCGTCCCATGGACCTCTCCCTCCCAGCCACCTCTTTCCTCATCTGGGTCATCTGTCCTGGGTTCTCCTCCCAGGCGTGTCTGAAACTCCTTCCATGGAAGGCGTTTTCACCTGAGAGCAGCAGTGATTGCACACAGAGGTCCTCCCAGATGGCTCAACTCAGCAGCTCAGGGTTGGAGGTGAGGGTTGGAAAGCAGATTCATTGATAAATCAGGCGTTTTACGTTTCATCTCAGCCCTCTTCTCACACTGGCCCATCCACCTTTTAGCTTCCCGCTGCAGGTTAACCCTCTGGAGGCAGGTGTTGCAGATTTGCAATGTTAAAACCTACCTACCTGGTTACTCCACGTATGTATTTAATGAGCATTTTTTAACTCAGAAGTACCCCTGAAGGACCTAGTTGTTCGTCCTTTTATCAAAACTTATTTTGAGCCTGAGAGGGTTATTACTTTCAGGTTCTGGTGCCAAATTATTTGGACTTGCGATCAAAAAAAAAGAAGAAAAAAAGTGACTCTGGAATTATTAATCTTTCAGAAGAGTGCAGACAATACTGATGCTTTACAATTGTCTACATTACCTATACAAGGAGTGCAGAATTATTAGGCAAATGAGTATTTTGTCCACATCATCCTCTTCATGCATGTTGTCTTACTCCAAGCTGTATAGGCTCGAAAGCCTACTACCAATTAAGCATATTAGCTGCCAAGATGCCACTTGCCACCAGTTTGGCCATATTTCAGAGCTGCAACATCAGTGGAGTGCCCAAAAGCACACGGTGTGCAATACTCAGAGACATGGCCAAGGTAAGAAAGGCTGAAAGACGACCACCACTGAACAAGACACACAAGCTGAAACGTCAAGACTGGGCCAAGAAATATCTCAAGACTGATTTTTCTAAGGTTTTATGGACTGATGAAATGAGAGTGAGTCTTGATGGGCCAGATGGATTGGCCCGTGGCTGGATTGGTAAAGGACAGAAAGCTCCAGTCCAACTCAGACGCAAGCAAGGTGGAGGTGGAGTACTGGTTTGGGCTGATATCATCAAAGATGAGCTTGTGGGGCCTTTTCGGGTTGAGGATGGAGTCAAGCTCAACTCCCAATCCTACTGCCAGTTTCTGGAAGACACCTTCTTCAAGCAGTGGTACAGGAAGAAGTCTGCATCCTTCAAGAAAAACATGATTTTCATGCAGGACAATGCTCCATCACACGTGTCCAAGTACTCCACAGCGTGGCTGGCAAGAAAGGGTATAAAAGAAGAAAAACTAATGGCATGGCCTCCTTGTTCACCTGATCTGAACCCCATTGAGAACCTGTGGTCCATCATCAAATGTGAGATTTACAAGGAGGGAAAACGGTACATCTCCCTGAACAGTGTCTGGGAGGCTGTGGCTGCTGCTGCATGCAATGTTGATGGTGAACAGATGAAAACACTGACAGAATCCATGGATGGCAGGCTCTTGAGTGTCCTTGCAAAGAAAGGTGGCTATATCGGTCCAAGGGCGTCAGTTTGTTTTCAGAATTGCTGGGGACAATAACCATACACTTGAGTGGGGTTTACAAATTGCTGGGGACAATAAAGTAGGCTAGCACGGGGTCGGCAATCCGCGGCTTTGGAGACGCATGCGGCTCTTCCATCCATCTGATGCGGCTCTCTGTGCTTGTAAAATAATGAATGGATATTTAAATAAAATGCTTTATATTTTACTGCATTAATTTTACATCTGTATGCCAATTCTAAATGTAAAGATTGTCTGCGTAAACCTGAACAGGTCCAACCCGGTCTACTGTGAGACCGGGTTGACGCGTCACGCTTGTGCGTAATCATATGCGCTTCCTGAGCTGAAGGATGTGAGATTCTGGGCTTCTCCTCAGACAGGTTCCTGGATGCGTCGCCACATTGGAGACAGGAACAAGCACTATTCAGCCAAAGTTTCATAATCAGGTTTGGCAGTGTAAGTGTCCTGTCACAGTGTCCCGATAGATAATGCGCCCTGGCTACTTGGCCAAGGGGTTGTCACTGTGGCTGACTGGTTAGAGCATATGACTCTCACCCGGGAGTCTGGGGATCGAATCGCGCCCGGGCCCTCGTTTCATTTGACTGTTTATTTTGACAGATGAACTCAAGGATGTTGCTTGGTTTGAAAGAATTAC